AGAGGTTTTATATATATATATATATATATATATAATTTTTTTTGCCCGAAGTCGCAGTAAGTGCCAAAGCCAGAAAGTGAATCCAGTTCTTTTTGGTTTCAAAGCCTTTGCATACTTTTTCTATATCACAGCCCCAAGAAGACCACAATTATGTTTCCTTACTGTCATCCCAGATGCTGCTGGAAAAGTAGTCAATAAGTAGCCCTACCCCGTACTTACCCAAACTGCAACACCAATATCTAATTTCCTTCCAGCAATTTACATTCACACCATATGGCATGTCTTGAGTCTGCCTTTGTATTAATCATTTCAGTTTCTAGCATCACGAGGCATTTACCCTAACACTTCAAGCTACTATTACTACTCCATTACATTAGTAACAAATGTTAACATCAGGACAAAAAAAGCACAAGCAGTATTTTCCCATCTGTTGACAGACACTTTAACCTCTGTGGGGTTAGATATCTGTGGGTTATCGGCATCTGCGTGCATAGTTACGCCATGCATCACCAAGTATGACAGGGTCAGTGATCACCGCCACATGCTCTACATAAACACCACCGCTAAGTACACAAGATCTCTTAGGAACAGACCAATTTGAAACTAGAAATTCTAGCAAATGCTAGAAAATGCCATTTGCTCTTCTTCCTACATCTTATAGCAATGGGTTTTATCTTTGCTTTTGGACTTTTTAACTTCATCTTCCCATAATTATGGACGGGAAATAAAATACATCCTGTAAGTTCTCCCATTTCACCACAAAGTTTGGAGGCTACTGAAATACCTTATAATTGGAGCAAATGTAGTCACGCCGGATCTGAAACCCTCTGTAGCACCTGACCATAAAACCGCTACCCTGTGTTTGCATTCAGTAATAGCTCTTAGAGATTTTTTTTCCCTGCTTAGAATAAAAACTACATGCTTGTGGAGATCTCAATAATTCTTTGCCCCTGACCTAACTTCAAATCCTAGTGTCAAGAAGCCTGAAAGATATGTGTAACAGGTTGAACTCGGGGGGCAAAAGGTTATTTCTCCATATAATTCCATGGGCCATAAATCTCTTTAGTCAGAATGGGATGGAGTCTCACATGGGGCTATCCAGATACACCAGTCCTTTGTATGTGCTTATTCCACGTGTAGCCACCTGGCACTTGGAACTGCTTTAGGGCTACAAGCATGACCACAAGGATCGATGAAGGAGAGCCAAAGAAAACCAAACTCTAACATGAGAATAAAGGTCAGGTGCCTTTATTAAGTTACTAACTTTAAATCTTGAAAATGAAACTAGAGACAAAGGATACGTGAGGTAGTCACTGACTAAACTGAAAATGTGTCTTGTGCGAGTCATGGGAGGACCACACTAGGATGGCTATCAGAAAAACCGGAAACAAGTGCTGGCCATGGAACCCTTGTGCAGTGCTGATGAGAATGGAAAATGGTACCGCTGCTGTGGAAGACAGTCTGGCTATTCCTCAAAAAACTTCAACATACCACTACCATATTATGCAGCAATTCCACCCCTGGGTATCAACCCAAAGAAATGAAAGCAGGGCCACAGAAGGGTACTTGCAAACTCATGTGCACAGCAGCATTATCCACAATAGCCAAAAGGTGGAAGCAAACCCAGTGTCTGTTGACCAACCGATGAATGGATAAACAAAATGTGGTACATACGTACAATGAACTATCCTTTGGCCTTAAAAGGAAGGACGTTCTGACACATGCCCGACCACAGTTAAACCCTGAGGACATTGTAAGTGAAATAAGCCAGTCACAAAAAGACAAGGACTCTAGGATTCTACTTATATGAGGTACCTAGAATAGTAAATCCAGAGAGACAGAAAGTAGAACGGTGGCTGCAGGGACTACAGGGAGGAGGACGTGGGGAGCTGTTTAATGGGCACAGTTTCGGTTCTGCAAGATGAAAGAGCTCTGGCGGTGGATGGTGGCGGCAGCCGCACACCAGTGTGAATGGACTTAATACCACCAAACGCTACACTGAAAAATGGTTAAAGTGGTAAACTTGACGTTATTTGTGTTTTACCACGATTTAGAGAGTTTCCTAAAAGTCAAAGGAGGGACCAACTATTGATACACGCAACTTGGATAAATCTCAAGGGAATCATGCTGAGTGAAAAACATGACCCCAAAGGGTTAAATACTTTCTAACTCCATTTATATAATGGTCTTATAATGGCAAAATTACAGAAATGAGAACAGATTAGTGGTTGCCAGGGCTTGGGGAGGAGTGGGGAAGGTAGCAGATGAGGCCATAAGAGGGCAACAGGAGACATCCTTTGTGGAAGTGAAAATGTTCTGTATTTTGCCTATAGCAAAAGGTCAATATCCTGGCAGTGATACTGTACCATAGTTTTTGCAAGATGTTCCATTTGGGGAAGACTGGATAAAGGGCTTACAGGACCTCTCTGTATTACTTCTTGCAATTGCATGTGAATCTACAATTACCTCAAAAAAAGTTTTTTTCAGTTTAATTTTTTAAAAAAGCCAAAGGAACACATTATTATATACCATACAGAAAGAAGATGGCCACTTATTCATTCAACAATGCCATGAATATTTAAAAGTCAAATAACTTGTCTTAACTATGAGCACATCTTTTTGGTAGAAAATAAATTTTTGTTTTATTTTGAATAGCTGTTTTATTGGACTGAGTGGTTTGGGGTTTTCCTATGGCTGATCCAAAATAATCGGTTTAAATACTAAGATAATATACAAAATAGAAATCATGGACCTACAGATCTGTGCTAAAGAAAATTATGTTAAGGTCCTAAAAGAAGACCATTCTAGATAGTGACCAGACTTTAACCTTTACAAATTACCTACTTTGTGCCATACATTTTTTCACATCTCATTTAAAATTCCCCAAGTAAAAATGTAAATAAGATCAGTAGTTCACAATCAAAATTTCAAAACTCTTAACAGTGGTTATATTCCAGAAGGCTCTTCTAGCTTTGGGTGGAATTTTAGAAACTCAGTATTTAAATATTAAAAGCTCTTAAGAAGTAATTTTGTTTCCCATGTGTTTATTAATAAGAGGATGGGGGGCGGTACCTGGGTGGCTCAGTCAATTAAGTGTCTGCCTTCTGCTCAGGTCATGATCTCGGGGTCCTGGGATCCAGCGAGTAGGGCCCCTGCTCAGCGGGGAGTCTGCTTCTCCCTCTCCTTTGCCCCGCCCCCCAGCTGGTGCACTCTTGCTCTCTCAAATAAATAAATAAAATCTTAAAAAAAAAAAAAAAGAGGATATGTCCTTGGATGTATGAAAAGAACTGGATACGAGAACCCCTCCCCCCAACAATGAAGGGTATGACCCAGAAGACTGCTCATCCAGGCATGTCTATCACAGGTGTTCTTGGGGATCTCTGCCAACTTTTCCCTAGGCCACCTAACCTCAAGCAGAACAAAACTTTCTATGTTCTCAGGACAAGGGCTTCCTTCCTTCTCTCTGCCTCCTCCGCCATCCCTTCCCAGACAAGGTAAGCCTCTGGCAGCTATGGCTGCGTGGCACCCCCAGTGCAGGACAGGGAACAGAGAGCTCACAGCGTGAGATGGGGCGCGTGTCGAAGGGTGACACAGGATAACTGGTGGGAATTTTTCCAGCCTCCTGTGCACTTGGAATCTACCTAAAGGGTTTAGCGAAAAAAGCACTGAAGACTTTCCTTATCTGGGCCCCCGCTTTGGGGAGTCATGGGGTTATAATTAGAGATGACGTCATGGCTTGGCAACTCTGGCAAATCTTACATTCCTATCCACGTCCGTAACTAAATTGATGTTAATCTCTTCCTATTTTATTCACCAAGGATTTATGGGATGCTAATTACTTGTCCTCCACCCCCCACTCACTGTTCTCTTGCTTCTCATCCAAAATTCTTGCAGTGTAAGGTTATCAAGTTACCCACAGAGTTTGAATTAAATGCCTGTGGCTGCTTCTGGATGAGAATCCTGGGGAAATAAGCTTCCCTAGAAAGTTCCTACTTTGTAGGTTTCACAAAGCCCAGAGTGCTGCTAGCAAGAAGAGTTCTTTCCAGGCACAGTATCAAGTTTTCCCCTGGAAGTTTTTTTCTGTCTTCTCCTTATTCCCATTTCAGTGTATAAATGCTCAAAAATAACCAAAAGGACAGATTTTTAGGAATCTCTAAATTAGATTATATTGGTCTATTCCTCATCGATGAGCTTCAGACCAAAGCCCAATTTCATTTCATACCCTAATGTTTTTATCTTTCCAAAGAAGTGTCTCCTGGAGGTCAAACACCTCTTTTGTCACGGTGTCTATTTTCTGCTGCATTCGCTGATTCTCCTGCAGAGGAAGTGGGAAGAGAAGTAATAAAAGAGCAGAAAGAAAAAACGGAGGGGGTCAGAGGGAAGAAAAGAGAACAAAAAATAAAGCTGATAAAGAAACTTAACAAAGGGAAAAAGAAAGTCTGTGCTCAACAGGCAAAGAGTTGCTTGCTAAAGGGAAAGATGTCATCCAGTGTCTTGGCGACAGGACTCCCACTGGCTTGCCACAAGGGAAGTGGGAAGAACAGCTCTGTGGCAGCAAGCCAGTTAGGGTTTGTGTGTACACGCAGCTCCATGTGTGTGCTCTTCCTCTGAGAACTGCCTTTTTTCCAAACATGGAACAACTTACATTTCTAGAGAGGGAAATTCAGATTTGCTCATGAACACATGATCCTTATCACAGAGAACAAGCCGTAGTTTTAAACTTTATTTTCTTAAGCAGAACTAAAAAATACAAGACATATCTCAGCTTAATCATTTTGAATTTGTTAGCAGAACCTATGACAGCAAGAATATCATGAATTCGAAGGAACAGTCATATTTTTAGTTGAGTTTAGTCTAGTTTTTTAGAAAAACTAGAATTCAGCATGTAGCAATTCTTAAACAACGAGGCTCAATTTATACCCTTGAATATGTAACAGGTTTTCTTTTAAGAATTATTGGTAAATTACCATTTCCTACTTCCTACTTACACACTTATCTACTTTACCATGAAAGACCAAAAAGCATTATTTTGTCATATTCAAGGTTTTTCAGTTATACATACGCATGGGTATGAACATCTAAGAGACATTAATTCTAAACATAAAAACTCCTAAAACTAAGGTTTTTAAAGTTCGCACTGTAGCACCCTCTGCTTTTAAAGAAACCACAGTGACAAGTTATGGGAATCAAGCATTACAATTCCTCTTAAGCACAATCATCAAATTAAAAACTAAAACACTTAACCAATTCTAACTTAAACTACTGAATCTGAGAAGCAGCTGCCAAAGCAGCTTTATTATTCTTTTGAAATCAAAAGTGGGGAAAAGTATATATCTTAATTAGAAAAAGAAATAGCAAGTGGCTGGCATATAGACACAAAAAACAGAAAAGGACAAAAAAGGAGAGGAATTCTCATTATTTTTAAATGCCAGGAGGATACAAAATTTAGATAATATGCTTCATGCCAAAAATGGAAAAACTAGGACAACTAACTTCACATGTAATCTGGTATTTTCCAAGGGTTATCTGTGTCTGCATTTAGCATTCACAAACTCAATCTGCAGGCTACATTCAATTCAATCATTCTCAAGAATGAAGAAAAGTTAACACAAATCCACAAATAGAAAAGTAGTCATTTGTTTTCCTCTAGTAAATTTTTTTTTTAAGTCATTTACAGGGTGAGAGATTAAGTGCGGCAGGGAAGAGAGGAGAAGGGAGGGGAACAAAGTGGGGGCGGGGTGGGTCCTGAGCAACAGGAACATGGATGAGTATGAGTGTGGTGCGTGTGGTGCGGGAGGCATCTCCCAGGGATCAGTAAGAACTGGCCTTCCTGAAATCTCTCTCCCGTCATCAACATTAAGTTAACATAAGACGCTTTGATAACCACAGCATGCCAGTGGGCAGGATCCCTTCCCGGCATACTTATAAAACACGAGCAAAACCCTCCTCAAGAGGAAAAACCACATTTAAAGAAACACAGAGATGCTCACAAGGTAGCAGGAACAAAAGGACAATAAATGCTTTCAAAGATTTCTTGGTGGACCCCACTGCTTCACATTCCTAAGGATGCTGCCAACACTGGGGCACGCAGGGGTTCCTCCACCAGGACAACCTGCCAACCTCCAGCTTTTCGTATAGAAGCTGTCTTTCTTGCCTAGCTCTTTTCCTTTAGCTGCTTCAGAAATAGATCTACCTCAATGAAGAGCAAACGTCTTATTCCCCAAGAATGCTGTCCCAGCAGACAGCATTCACTATATTCCAAAGACTAATGGTACTCATAATTTTTCCTTTTGCCCATTTCCTAACATAACTTTAGGAAACAATGTGCTTAGGAATAAAAGATCATTACAAAAGCTTTTGCTATTACAAGGGGGAATGTTTATAAGGTTGGTAGCATTAACTTTTTAAGCCTGACTTTATGTTTCATGAGTGTGAAATTTTAGGGTACAGCCAAGATGAAGAGACAAGGAACTGTGGCATTTTAACTCCCTTCCCTCCCAACACACAACCCCCCTTGTCCCATTCAATGCATTTTGTTCAAAATTAAGTATTTCCACAGTTCATGCACATACCTCAATGAGCTCATCTCTCTGTCGAAGGCCTTCTTTAAGTTCATCCATCTTATGCTGTAGCACACTACACATATGTTTCTGCCTTTCTAACTCCTGTTAATAAACAAATGATACAGCTTATACAGATAACGGCACACAACAAACTGGCACATCTACAGTATAATAATTCAGAGGCTAAGACTGACCTCCAGACACACACTTGGACTTCCATGCATAATAACTTAGAAAAATTCTGTATTCTATGGAAAGGTTCAGAAAATTACATTTTTATCTCCTAGGAGTATACAGCTAGAAAATCCAGACTAATCAATGGCAAAATTACTAAGAACAATGAGAAGACTTAATAAAGTAACAGGTTATAAAATTAACATATAAAATCCAATAATCCTCATAAATATAACTAAAATCTAGAGAGAAAATATAATAAACACAGTATCAAAAAATAAAATTTTTAAAAACACATGTGTAAACTTAAAAGAAATACCCAAAATCAATATGAGGAAAATCATATAAAATATTCCTGAGGGACAGAGAAGTAGGACCAAATAGAAAGGCACACTATCTTGGATAAAAAGACTTAGTATCATAAAAATGTCAGTTCTCCCCCAAATTAATCTATACATTTAATGCAGTCCAAATAAAAATACCATGAGGCTTTTTTCTCATCAGAGCTTGACGAATTGATTATAAAGTTTATTTGGAAGAAAAACATAAGAAAAAACAGCCAGAAAAAAAATACTGATAAAGAAGAAAGCTAGCTTCACTAGACATAAGGTCAATATAATTAAAGCAATGTTTGTAAGGGTTTTTGAATACAGATGAAAGGAGCAGAAGAGAAAATCCAGAAATAACCCAGTTACATGTGCAAATGTACTAAGCAAAAACAAAACAAAAAGATCATCTCAAATCAATGAGAAAAGATAGAGTTTTATGTAAGTGAGGCTGGAATAACTGGATATCCAAATGGAAAAAGGAAATTGGAACCACACCTCACACTATACACCACGACAAATTTCAAATGGATTGGAAGTGTATGGCAAAAAGAGAGAAAAAAAGAGAAAAGGAAAGAAGGATAGTTACTAGAGAAAAAAAATGAGTGAATTCCAAAGAGTAGGAAAAAAATGTTACTAAAAAATGACCTAAAAATCCACCAGCAAGAAAGGGAAATGGGTAATAAGTTAGACTACATAAAAACTTTTGAATGGCAAAAGGCACTCCAAGCAAAGTAAAAACACAAATGATAAACTACAAAAAAAAATTGCAACTTATATCAGAAACAAAGTTATCGTCTCTCTATATAGAGCCTCTAAAAAGAAAAAAACAGTACTATATAGAAAAATAGTCTAAAGAAATGGACAGTTCACAGAAAAAGAAATCACTCTGAATATAAAAAGATGATCATACTAAGAGAACAATAAATTAAACTGTATGGTCTCACTTAAACACTAGTAGAAGTCCAAAAACTTGACAACGTATTCAGGAAAATACTATGGGGATGGAAACAGGCCCTCTTGTACATTCTGGTAGGAATCCAAAATGGTATAACTAATACAAAGGGAAAACTGGCAGTATCCAGCAGAATGAGCATGCCTTTTGACCCAGTAAACCCACTCTGATGAATCCCCTGGCTATCCCGGCAAAAATGCAAAAAGACTTATGTAGTACATCATTTTTGCAGGACTATTTTTAACAGCAAAAGACTGTAAACAATTCAGATGTCCATCAACAGGGAGCTGGTGGAATAAACTATAGCACATGCGCACCATGGAATCACTATGGAGTAATACCAAGGAATGAAGAAGACCCACAGTCATAAGGTGATAAAAAGAGCAAGGTGCGGAGCAGTATTTATAGTATGCTACCATTTTCTAAGAAAGCGGGGATAAAAAACATATATTTGTATATACTTTTTCAAATAGCAAAATATATCTATCTTCTTAAGTATGGAAGGATAAAGCATTTAATTAAAAAATCCCCTCAAGAAATAGGGATGAACAGAGATAGAAGATTGACTCTTTGTTGATTTCACTTCAGATACATGTAAATATCTTATGTAATTGTAAAACAAAATTAAATTCAAAAAGCAATTCCTGATGGAAGCAACCCAAGTGTCCACAGACAGATGAATGGATACACCACATGTGGTACATACATACACTGGAATATTATTCAGGAAGGAAATTCTGACACATGCTACAATACAACATGGATAAGCCTTGAAAAGCATTATATGAAGCCAGTCACAAAAAGTCAAATACTGCATGATTTCACTTTTATGAGATACCTAGAGGAGCCAAACTCAGAGAGAGAGAGAGAGAGAGAGAAAGTAGAATGGTGGTTGTCAGGAGCTGGGGGAGGGGGGGGGGGCTGTTGTTTAAAGAGTACAGAGTTTCAGTTCTGCAAGATGAAAAAGTTCCCATTGCACAACAATGTGAATATACTTGATATTACTGAACTGTCTGAACTGTAACACCTTAAAATGGTTAAGATGGTAAATTTTGTTATACTTTTTATCACAATTAAAAGTAAAAATAATCTAAAGATAAAAATTTTTAAAGTAATTCCTAAGTATTGAAAATAAAATGCAGTGAGCCTAATTATACAACCAGTTAGCAGCATAAGCACAGAGAAACTATTTCGAGTAACTTTTAAAAAACAATGGCTGGACTATACATAGTATAGCAGCAAAATAACAGCCAACCAGAACAAAACAAAAAACTTTTAACTATTTTCAGTAATTATATCACTTGTGGCGACACTGGTATTGCTATTCTGAGCACTGTGGGATAGAGCAAAGAGAACAGAATATAACATAATTACTATCATCCCCCAGTGACTTTGAGAACTGGCAGTGGGAAAACGGAGATACACATATGTAAAACAGAGAGGGTAAGGAAAAATGCCAGAGTCCTGAACGTGAACTAGAACTACTAGCATAAATTCATAATATATATATATATATTTTTTTTTTTTTAGATTTTTTATTTATTTATTCATGAGAGATAGTGAGAGAGAGAGAGGCAGAGGCAGAGGGAGAAGCAGGCTCCCCGCGGAGCAGGGAGCCCGATGCGGGACTCGATCCCAGGACCCTGGGATCATGACCTGAGCTGAAGGCAGACGCTTAACCGACTGAGCCACCCAGGCGTCCCTCATAATATATTTTGACTTTAAAAACAAAAAAGTACCCCACATAAATATTTCCCTGATATTCCACTAAAAAGGCCTTTATAAACAGTTATCTTCTTGGTGGCAAGAGCTCTCCAGCACCCACACCACCCCACTAAAAGAACCAAGGCTCCTTGGACAAACAGCTCCAAGTCTGGAGCAGGAAATACCAGATGAGCCTGGAACACTTTCTTGTGCTAGACAGAATTTATTTAAAAAAAAAAAAAAAACAACTTAGACTCATGTCAAAATTACTTGGAAATCAACCTGAACATGTTCAGATTAGTTAAAGGTTGAACAATTTGAAAATCAAAAAGAATAAAAGCTACAATGAATTCAGATCATCAAACGCTTGTATTCTTAATGATATTTTAAAATATTTTTTAAGTTGTATCTGATAAAGGACTTGTACCTAGAATATATGAACTCTTGCAACTCAATAATAATAATAAAAAAATCCAATTTAAAAACAGGCAAAAGAGGGGCACCTGGATGGCTCAGTCGGTTAAGTATCTGCCTTCAGCTCAGATCATGATCCCAGGGTCCTGAGATGGAGCCCCGCATCAGGCTCCTTGCTCAGCAGGGAGTCTACTTCTTCCTTTCCCTCTGTTCCTCCCCCTGCTTGTGCTCTCTCTCTCTTTCTCTTTCTTCTCTCTCAAAAAAATAATAATAAATAAAAATAGGCAAAAGATCTGAATAGCTATTTCTCCAAGGAAGCATATGAAAATATACTCATAATTATTAGTCATCAGGAAAATGCAAATCAAAACCACAGCTGCTAGGAAGGCTGTAAAAAGAAAAAAAGTCAGACAATACTAAGTGTTGGTGAGGCTGTGGTGAAATCAGAACTCACATACACCACTGGTGGGAACGTGAAATGGTGCGGCCACTGTGGAAAATGGTCTGGCATTCCTCAAATGGTTCAACATAGAGCTGCCATATGACCCAGCAACTAACTCCCTTCCCAGGTACACACTTAACAGAAAGGACAACATACGTCCACACACACAGACTTGTACACAAATGTTTACAGCAGCATTATTCATCATAGCATGTGCATCAACACACAAATGAACAAACAAAATGTGGTATGCCCATGCAATGGGATAGTATGAGGCCGTAAAAAGTAATGAAGTAGTCACCCACACTACAACACAGATGAATGTCAAAAATAGTTCAGCTAAATAAAGAAGCCAGTCTCAAAAGCCACCTTCATATTCTATGACTCTATTGACCGCAAGTTTAGAATGGGGAAATCTATAGAGACAGAAAGCGGAGGAGTTACTCAGGGCTGAGGAGGCAGGAGACAGAGCAATGACAGCTAAAGGGTACAGGGCTTCTTTCTGACATGACCACAGTCCTCTAAAACTAACTGGGACGGCTGCACATAATATGAATATACAAAAGCCCCGAATTGTACGCTTTTAAAAGGATGAATTAGATGGTATGTGAATTTTATCTCCAATCCATTTTAAAATAATACAAGAAATGTGAAACAGTAATGATAAAATTAGTATACCCCATTTTGCAACCCTTAATCCACTAACAGATCGAAGCATCTAGCAACAGCATTATAAAAAGAAAGAGCCATACATCAGGGCCTCCTGCCAGAAGATAACCCATGAAGCAGACTTGCCAAAAATGCCGCACCTGTATTTGGTTAAGCCTCTAAACCTGACTACCTGTTTACAGAAAATACAGAGGAAAAGGGAACACATTAAAGACACCATAGGAATGAAACAGCAAAATCCCTAAGGCTGTCAGAAACTGTTAAGACAAGCAATCCTGTCTCTTCAACACACAAATTGCAAGGGAGGAAAAAAAAAAGAGAGATGAAAGGAAAGCTATAAATAGAGACTTAAAGACATGACAACTAATTCCAACTTATGGAACTTATCTGGATCCTCAGGGTTTTGTTTTTTTTAAGTGTAAAAAAGAAAACCACTTAGGACATTTGAGACAATTAAAATTTTAACAATGGTTGGATACGTAGTACGAAGGAATTATTCTTAATTTTTTAGATGTGAATGGTCTTGTGGTTATAAAAAAAAGAGGGAGTCCCTCTCGTTTAGAGAGTCATACCTAAACTCATATTAAAATATGAGATACTGGGAGCGCCTGGGTGGCTCAGTCGCTTGAGCGATTGCCTTCGGCTCGGGTCGTGATCTCAGGGTCCTGGGATCGGGCCCCGTGTCGGGCTCCCTGCTCCACGGGAAGCCTGCTTCTCACTCTCCCACTC